GTGACTTGTATAGCTTAGTGGTTTCGATAAGTATAATATTGAATACAATAGCAATAAGTTATCAATCACTTACATGTCGTCATCGTCTCGTCATGGAGATACGTCGCGTCACACAAAATGCATACGATTGCATTCCACCGCTCCTTTTTCCTGCAGTCCTTGTACTACAAGTTCCTGGTAGGGGAGTCGCTGTAACAAAACTTTAGGAAATTAACTGAATGACGCACACAATAATAATTGTTAAATTAAACCATAGATATCTTATTTTTTTCAACGTATTATCACTTTTATTCAAATCCATAAATTGTGAGAAATATATTATGATTGTTATGTCATTGTTTTAAGGCAAAAATGAATGATCTTTTAAGTAAAAAGCTGACAATGCAATTGAGACTCGTACACTCGTTACTAGTATTTCCTACTAATATTGTTAATTAAAAATGATTTAGTACTTTTTTCAGCTTTCACAAACGCATCTAGTATAATAATCCAAACGCATCATACACGCACAGACCAAAACAGATGAAGGTCGCACCGGTTACTGACCTGCAGATGAGCATTGACCCAGAGAAGGGTGCTCGAAGGGGATAGGGCCCCTTTCGTGTCGTTCACAAAAGGAACGAACACCAGGCCCGCATAGAAGCGAGGAGGTTGAGCTGCATACATGCACTTTGCACCGAATACGCGTGACGTCACCCACTCACTGCATTGTTTGCCGCTGCAGTTTTCGTGTTTACATTACGATTTGTTACGAACGGCACGCCAATCACGATTGTTGTGCCCACGTTTTAGATAAGACTAATCATTCATAACATTATGACTGCAGGAAATCAAATAGGTACTAATTTAGGAAACTTACTTGTTCATTAATAGTTGAGAAGGATCTCCACTCCACCTTTGTTTTTTATGTAGAATATCAAATAATTATTTTGTCATAAAATAAAAAGGAAAGGTAAAAAGTTTATGTCTGAATCACTTGTCTTCAGATTATCCCCTTTTTTTGACTGCAGCTAATTTTTTTTATATAAAAAAATATATGTTACTGTGACTTTCGCAAAAATGAAACGATGACGACGATCGACGCATTTAAGCCCACGTCCGAAACGTCTGACTTTTCTTCCCACTGCCTTTATGATCAGTCCGCAGAAATAGAACCTCTTTGTACTCCAGAACGTTCTTTTAGTCAATAAACTGAAATAGGTCGTACTTCGTGATGGTTCAAGGTAACGCGTGGCTTACGGGAATAGTCTGTGAGTAAACTTCTTAAAATAACGTCGTCCTACACTTGTTATGTAGAAAAGCCGTCTTGTTTTTCAGTCTGTCCATCGCCACTCACATATTCATGAGGTATTTTGGCATAAAATGTTTACGACTCTGACAGATTTACACGTACTTCGGTATCGGCTATCGGTACTATAGAAATGTGTAAAGGTTAAGAATTATTCATAAAACGAATTTGAATTCTCAAAAAATAAAAGCAATAAATTATTAAAATATTATTATAATAAAATTATTAAATCCTTCAAGGCCCGCGAATCTAGACACAATAGATAATCAATTGTTATGACATTAATTAATGCCGTCTGGGACTCAAGTGTCTTATTTTACTCAATATAAAATTCCCATTGCAAAGTTGCGGCAGCAGTATCGGCATTTAAGTCAAGGGCTCATGGCCTATTCTGTTCTTGAAGGTATACACTACATAAACGTTGTTGTGTTTTTATAAAAATGTAGTAAAGGCACTGTTATTAACACGAAAATAACAGTTAGCGCACTGTCGCGTGTAATATTGGACGGAGAAAACAGGCTCAGTGGCGACCTCTATGTCTAATAGTTAATAATTCAATCTATTAACTCCTACGAGTATTATTTTTAATCCTGCTATACGCTATCATTAAAATGCATTTTTTGATACATTATCATAAATTACATACATTTTATCTTGGATAAGGTTATTATAATTTACGTCACAGCAGAACTAAAATTTGTTAACTATAAAAATCATTTTCGCCTTTCGTGATAACAGCAGAATCCTAAACCAAAATTGTCAAACTCCATACAAAAAACACCGGCTATCGTCAAAGTTACGGTCAAAGTAAGATGGTTCAACTCAGCCTTACTACTAGAGATGAGACGTATTTACTAGAACAGATCCACACACTAGGTATTTTACAGTACTAAGCGTCACCTATTCCAATTTTTTAAATACTTGATCCACCTAGTATTTTATAAATTACACGATTTCTGACCCTACCATCAAAGTAATAGAGGTTGTTATTGCGTAATCCGTAGTCGTGTATTACGCACACCGAGTATTTCTCGCTAAGCTTATGTGCGAACGTAGAGATTCACTCCGTCTCTGTCTGACCACAAATTTGAGCGCGACGAAGCAAACGCACACAAACGTAGTCAAACCATATTAATGTAAATTCATGTAAAAAAGAAAAAAATATGTAAGTATTTTTATGAAATTGATATCTTTTAAATTTAAATTGAAGTATGTGAAGGGAGGATATCAATCAATCAACAGCCAGCAAAACATTATTATTCAATTTCAAATTGCATTATTCATACTACGGTTGTATCTTTTCAAAGAAAAATGTATTTTAAAGTCATATTACGTGGATTATTCCGCACTAGTCGCGTTAAGTATGCTAAATTACTGCATACTAGGTGGAATAGGTATTTGGATCGAGTATTAATAAATACTAGGAATAGGTGCACCTAGTATCAAATTTATCTAGTATAACCCATCTCTACTTACTACTACTTTGCCTGGCCCATTCCCATTTTATTTGGGGTCGGCCCTCCGCATCATGCGTCTCCAGGCGGCTTGGTCCTGGGTTGTCTTACTGTTAACTTGGGCTTCTTTAAGGTCGTTATTGATTACGATTTTGATCCAACTCAGCCTTAAAGAACTAAAAATGTATAATGACAAAAACAAAAAAACATTTTCGAGTTTAGAGATGACAGCAGAACCCTAAAACAAAATGTTATTGTTATAGAAAGCACTCAAATTGTAAAATTCACACGAATGGAATTTTTATGTTCTCGCTGTTATTTATGTATTTGCTATTTTCAATTTTCGTTAGAGAAATAGCGTTGTTTGTCTTCAATTCAATCTTAAATACAACCGTACATTAGGCAAAAAGTAATGAGTACCTAACCTAAATTACTATCTTAAAAAAGTTAGTAGCCTATATTATGTACTTAGCCGTGTGGTGACGGCAGAGTAGAATACATTTGTCACCAACCCCTACTCTTCCCGCGGGTGTCGTAAGAGGCGACTTAGGGACTACACATCAAACAGAGAATGGGCAGCAGCGCTCTCTGAAAAACATCAATCTTTTAAACTGCGATCTCCAACCCGCCTGCCAAGCGTGGAGATTATGGCAAAACCCTCCACTATAGTGGAGGAGGCTCATAGTCCAGCAGTGGACTGTAAAGGGCTGTTGATGATTATGTACTCCTATATCATCATTATTTAGGTAACGTATTGTATAATAAACTTTCCTATTCTAAATTAGAATTTTATTCTATAACTTTTTGTTGAAATTTTGACCTATCTTGACCTACACCAGCAGCTGAAGATATTTATATTTCAAAAGATAGTATTCATGCTTTAAAATGCGGCACTTTTTTTTTACCTAACCACTTTTCTCTCTTAACCTTCATTCACCTGCCCAAGACCGTGACAAGATGCCATAAACATAAAGAATAGAAAAAATATGTTATTTATAATTAACTTGGAGGATGTTGTGGTTATCCTCATCCAAGCGTAAAAAATATATGCGCACATTTTACTCGCATCGCGGCGCGGCATCGCATACAGCGGCCAACGATGGAACGATCGGAACGCGCCGGTCTGCTGTGGAGAATCTGGAGCAGGTTGTTACGATCGCCAAGTACTAGGCTCACAGAAGGTAGGAAGAGGTGTATTCTAAAAGCTCAAGAAAGACACTAGCGCCATCTATCAGTGAGAGGCATAAATGCTTACAGCTAGTAGTAATGTGAAGCATGCTTTTAATAGCATTGTATTTGCCATCTATCGGTGAGTATAAAATACAAGAGCTAACCTCAGTTAAGTCTTGAAAATACAGATGGCGCTGCTAGTTGTTCTTGCGAATTTGTAAAACCTGCATTCATTTTAGCCGACTTTAAAAAAGGAGTTTCTCAATTTCGAGTGTATTTTTTTTATGTAAGGGCTTTTATCACTTTGCCTTATTTTATCGTACATTGTAAGCAGTTTTATTATTATTTTGATAATTAATTACGTTGTTCATTTTATGTTAGAATTATCTGGGTATGGGCACCACACCAACTAGGTATGTTGGGATTATTGGTAACAAAACGTGAAATTTAATAAAACAAACGTATAGTTTGACTGATGTTTACTATGAAGTTGAAGTAAGTACGTACGTATGTGTTTTATTTACAAGGAAAGCACGTACGAGTAATAATCACAAAAACTCAAAAAGTAGGTATTGCATACTTAGCTTTTAAACAAAGGACAAGCCAAAAAATAAATTTAAAAAACAGTCTACAATCTCGTAAATTTATTAACTAAATAATAGGTGTTATTGTTTTGATATTTTGCACAAGCTATTATAAAATAAGTACCTAATTATTACAATATTATTGCACTACATAGTTTGAAAGTATTTCAACTTGATAATTTAATGCTATTATAAAGAAATGAATATTTATAATACAGCATGGTATTTATTTTATTTATAGATTTTAAATTATTCTAACATTTACTTAAGTAATGCAGGTTTATAAATGAAGCTTATTGCTTGAAACACGTAGTCTGGAATGTACACCAAATATGTTTAAAATATAAAATTTGACCAGGAAAATAAATAAATAAAACCCAGCCATTATAGAGTAAAAATTAACAAAAATAATATGTGCACGAAGACTAATAGGGGAAATAAATTAAAGGAAAACAGCCATTATATTTATTTTCCTGATCAATATTTTTCACTATCCAATAATAATTAATAATACTGACTGCTAATAAATCTATGACTAGATTATAATACTAATTTAAAAATATATTTACAAGGAAACATCTGATATACAATAACAAATCCGATGGGTTGGTAACTAATGAACTACAATTACAATTAAATATTAATTAAAATACCACAAATATAAAGCTCCATTGAGTTGGACATCATCATGCAGATTTAGTGCTGATCAAATTTCTGACGCTTAATCTAACTCGTCATAGCTGTCATTGAAGGACTGATCCATGACGTCACTGTCGAAGCTAGCGGTGGTGGTTTTGGTGACTTCTGCTTCTTTTTGGGCGAGCAGTCGGTCGCATTCGTTCAGGCGGCCATGCAGCACTTCATAGACTCTGGTCATGGATGTAACCTTCTCTTTGCAAGAGGGATCAGTTTCGATCGCGAACAACCGCGAATCCAGCAGCTTGATTGCAGCAACGATGTAGTTCCGTAGCGTCTTCGTTTTGTGCTCGCTGCTGATGCGTTCGAGGAATGCGCACACCTGTCTCTCTCCACAAAGAAGGACGTCCACATCATAAGCCAACGGCGAGTGCTGTCTATGTAAATATGCTATCAGTCGTTTCGCGTAGCGCCTGTAAGTGCGGTATGCTTTCCGCTTCCTTGCACCTAAATTTCTGCCCATCGTCATGGATTTCTTCATGTCATCAATGACGGCTTTGTAGCCAGCATCGATTTTGGTGTCGAAGATGTCTCGTAGACGTGTTTCGACTGGCTGGAGTTCGTATGGGGCTGGGGATGGTGGTAATGAGGGGGAAGACGGAGGTGGGGACGGTGGGAGAGGGTTGCGTGTGTTCTCTTCTTCACTGGACTCGCTTGAAGCTCGTCTCTCGGCCGGGCTGGCTTCAGGGACCGTGTATGGTCTCGGCCTTGTCCTGGTGCGTTGGACACGAGCAGGCCTCGGGGCCGTTCGGGCATTATAAGCGGTGAGGACGTTCGCGTCTTGTTCGGTGAGTGGTCTAGCACGTTGGGTAGCAGCTAATGGTATGATTCTGATTTTGACGAGGGCATAGCTCTGGTGTATTTTGGCCCTGATGCGTGGGTCTTCGTAGTCGGTGCCCCATAGGTCTCGGATGGCAGATTCTTTGAGGTACCGGACCTGACAGAGTTCTCCGTTGAAGAAGCGTTTTCTCTGTTGCTCGTTGAGGGCGTCTCGCTCTGCGCCGGTAAGTCCATGGATCTTGGTGAGATGGTCGGGCAGCTTGCCGTAGGTAAACCGCGCGCAGTTCTCTATGGGACACGGAATGTTGGCGTGGTTCTGTTTCTTCGCGCGCACCGGCGCTGAAGGCCGCGCTGCCATTTTGGATTGTGGTTCTGGAAAGACGAAAATTATAGGGTTAATTTGTATAAATGACAGACAATTTTCCGCCAGAACCCAATTCGATTTCCCTCAAAGGTAAGTTAGGTATAACCAAACTGTTTAATTACAAAGAAGGACCAAGAATAATTGTCGGTTGCCTTGTGATGATAGTCTAAAAGAATAAGTTTACTTTTATTTTGCATGTCATATACTTTGTCATCTCCGTTTAAAATAAAACAAATTATTTTTTCAGCGGTACCTACATCAACAACTGAACCTAATTTGCCATCTCAATATTTTGGATCCACTTAATTTATTTAGAGGGTGTTTATCGACGTAGGGAGCTGTCCGAGTATAATAATTGTGTTGTCGGAGGCCTCGGGCTGTTTGCAGAGCGCCGGCCCGCTGTCCTCGTCTAATTTATTGAAAACAATGCCCATGTCTTGTCGACTCCTTGTTTCACCCACAGACAGGACAGAACGGCTTTCTCGTTTGGTAAAATCACATCTTTTAAATAGAAGTTTCGCTATAAATGTCAAGTTGTAATAATGAAATTATGGTTAGGTACTCGTAATTAGATATTGCTTACTGTAGTTAAGACGAAGTATATTATTATTTAGTGGTTAAGATTTTAATAATTAATGGTCCAACTATTGCATTGTTCTACATAGGTTCGCAATTAATTTTATTTTATTTTATTTTTATCTCTTGGAAAACTTGAATTGCCTGAAATGTTCATCGACGACGCCATGAAAATCAGGGAATTGTGGTCGTGGGCAAAAGTTATTATAAATGGATTAACTGGTTCTAGAGGTTAAAATATTTTTTAAATTAAAGTAAATTAACGCACTGTAATCGTTACATTGTAAAATATAATAGGTGTTGTCAATTTCAGAGTTTCAGTAAGGTAAGTTTGCACAAGTTTAGGTTGTACTAAGCCACAAGTCAAAACTTAGTACCGGTACAAACTATGAAGACAAGGTTTTAAATGAGGGTCCATGTTCAAAGGGGTATTCCAATGTTACATGTTAGATAGTCAAATAATGTTGGATTTGACCTACTTGTAACTAACTCTCTACATTGTCCTACCTGGAAACTTGAAATTAGTAACTGCCATAGCTTGCTTTGGAATAAACTTAAATATCAATCAATCAACTAGCTTAGTGGTTTGTACTTTGTATACGACTCAAGAGGTCAGACTCGACATCAACGAGAGTTTAAAAAAAATTCACTGCGCTATAATCTTAATATCTATTCTATAAAAGCGAAAGGTCACTGATTTACTGACTCACTCACTCAACACGAAATTTCAGAAACTGCAAGTGCTAAGAGTCTCAAATTTTGCATAGGGGTTTCTTTTAGAACGTAGGTGCTCATTATGAACGGATTTTACGAAACTCCACCCCTAAAGGGTTTAAACGGGATCCATGTGTACGAAATAACGGGCGGCTGCAAGTACGCTATAAATTATACCTATTAAACGCGTAGTGTAGGATTTGCTTACTTTTGGAGAAGTCCACCAGAGTGCTAGGTTTCTTTGTTTTTAATAACGGACTTATCAAATAAGCCGATATAAATGGAATATTAATGATGTCTCAACATTAATATAACAATATGCTTCGAAATAAGTCGTCTTAGCCTTGATTGGAGCAAATATTGATGTAGAAAATTAGCTTGTATCGCCGGGAGTGCCCGCTACAATAAATAATCTAAATTGAACGGTTCCCGAGGGAATCCGGGAGCGATATCCTATTGTTTGGTGTTCGTCAATTAATAATTTTGATTAGTTCACTTGCACTCGGTTTTTGTAAAGATATCATTACGAATTTAAAGAATTTACGGCAAAGTTGACGACCGATGAGGTTGGGCCTCATTAATAGAAATAAAACTTTTATTATAATTATAATATTTAAAAACAGTTGCCAAATCAGGAAGTGTTATCCTCAGGGTTAGGAAGTATAATATGAAAAACTTTTACTATGGTATCAATCATTGGTAGCAGCGAGTGCTTTCTGAATCAACCACTTTGTATTTTGCTTAAAATATGTCATTGCAATATGAGCTAAGCTTAATTAAGTTTACCGAATTCTAAGTTTGACATATTTGGGAGGTGTTGACGACACACGCGGTGCCTATGATGGCGACCTATATTTGCAGCGGAGTATGCAGTCGAACGCCTTATAAAAAGTTGAATACTATGTCAAAAAATCGCATAAGTTGTAGAATATCAGCTAGGGTATAATCAGGAAAAAACAGACGATGGAGTGAAGGACGCAGGAATCACCTTTTGGTTAAAGAAGGTAATAATAAATCAATTAAAAAAAAAAACTGAGACTCAATAAGATTGCAGTTTCAAACATGATTACTGAATACTGCTAAGTATACTTTGCTAATGACTAAACTGTGTAATAATATAACAAAACCATTTCCTTATTTCAAAACAAAACTTCCACAACCTCCAACAACCGTGACACACGTAGGTACATATTAATCAGCCCACCTCTTGTACGCCTCTGATTGACACCGCGCAAATATCATCTTACTTTCAAAGTTTCCCTCTTTCAAGGAAAGCGAGACTTGAATAAATAACTAATTTACATATTTAATAACCAGTATCGCCGGATTCAATTGTGGCGGCTCTGAATTATTAATCCGCGCTTAGCTTATTACCCTCTGGCTGTAATCAAGTATTCTGAACAGATATTTTTAATTAGCAATAAATGTAAGTTGAGGTTTCTTTGAGAAATTTTAAGAAAGCGACAGAACTTTTTAATTTGAGACCGATTTTGGTGAATTTTGTAATTTATGCGAGTTAGAGTTAACACTATAATCAAGATGACTTGTAAATTTTAATAAAGTCGCATCACAATATAACGCACAATTTATAAATTCAATGCTAAATAGTGAAATCGCGTATCGGAAAACGCAGCGTGGGACGTCCACCCACAAGGTGGACCGACGACATCATAAAGGTAGCAGGAAGGCGCTGGACGCAGGCCGCTACCAACAGGGCAACATGGAAAGCATGGGGGAGGCCTTCAGCAGTGGACGTCCTATGGCTGAGATGATGATGATAAAATAGTGAAATCCAGCTCTATCGGCAGTTCTTTTTTAATTTTTATAACCATAAACATGTCTATTTTTCCTTCTTTTCACAAAATTTATTTTTTAGATACAGACTTACTCGTAAATATCAAAATATGGGAAATCCGATAACTTTTTGGGTTGCCAAACTTATTTTCTACGTCAAAAATAACAAGTACACCTCAATAATTAGTTTTCAAGAACACTGTCAGGTGACGGATCTCATGTTCCCGTTTTATCACCGGATGCAGGACCCCAAAACATCGCTAAGACGGGGAGATCTCCCCACTTGCCTCGTAAACAGGGAGGTTGTTTATGCAAACAAATAATGCATATTGTGCACTTTGCACCGTATAGAAAATGGGTAGCCTTGTTTTTTAAGTTAATTAGATATTCTTATTTTTACGATGAAAGATTTTGTAGAGTTAGTTGTTTGAAACAAAAATAAAAACTATTCTTAAAGCCATTTAGTGCACATAGGCTTTCAAAAGAGCTTTTTATAATCCCACATTGTTATTTTAATTATAATTATTCATTGGTATAATTTTAGATTAACAGTTATTATTTGAAAGTTATTTTCAACGATACTCCTTTATTTACTCTTGATGCCTATTAGCGGACTTAATTTTTAACAGCAATATCTATCAGTTAACTTTGCGGTGAGGAGTCAATTTTTTTCGTGCTGTTTTGTTTTGTTTCCCTGAACGTAAAACCCAATGCCTAATAACAGCTAAATTTTAAACTTGTGAAGCACTTTTACTATTTTCGATAAAAAAGTTCAATACAAATGAAGGTGTCACTCGCTAGGGCGGGCGGCATATCCGCCCCCGCCCGCCCGTGCATCGCAAACAGATAAACAGGGGTGCGTAAACAACAGCAGGGGTGCAATCACGTGGGCGAAAGGTGATACTTCTATCTGGGGGTTAAAATTTGCATTATTCCTTGATCTTGACATAAATCTTGAACGGTTTTGATGTTAGGAGCTTGTATGTTTTTTGAAATACATATATTTATTTCATTCATATCACAGTTTAGAATGTTTTCTGGTTTTATCTAAATCAATATAATTAATTATTAATTGTTTAGGACAGTGACAAATTAAAATATCTGGCCAATGAAATATAAAAAGTTTCAGGCTTACAAAAATTGCGGTACTTACGAGTTAATCAGATTATTATTTTAGCAACTTTTTGGTCGTTAAGAAATTTTGAGGAAGAGCTTTGATCATCTATCATCGACGTATGAGATAAACTGAAAGTTATAAAATAATAATAAATAAATAAATAAAGTACTTATATTGCTAACAAGTTATGGGTCATATAGATACAAAAACTATCCTCAATTAAAATTAAAAGAAAAACTTATTTTACATAATAGCTAATAATTAAAATAAATGTATTTTTAGGAAGCTATAAATATTGTCTGTTGCATTGAAATACATATTATGATTGATTCACTTTTCTTTCTATTATTATTTTACATGTCTGTACCCTACTTTTAATCTAAATGAGCAAAATATAATTTTTGTAATGATTTAGGAGTGATTAGCCAACGCCGTAAATCTTGTATTTTACACTGATTGTAAGAAATATTACAGCGTTAAGTAGGTAATTATATTAAAAATTTCGTAGCATTTTCTCTTCAGTTTTGTAACATTCACAAGAAATTAACTTAACTGTAGAGTTTACTAAAATAAATATTTACGTACCATTATTATTTAAGATATTAAATATAATTCTTGATAGTATAATTAAGTCATTATACCCACTTGTATTGGAGTTCTATTTATTATGCCAAATTCTATTCACAGCTATCATCCTCGTTATAAATAAGTTTTTTCAATATAAAATGTTCATTTATTCTACAGACAATAAACCTATCACCCGCTTATCAATTAACACATCAATAAACAACACAACAAGTCACAAAAAATAACTTAACACCAAACAAAAAATCTTGACTCACCTCCAACGAACTTCGACCAAGTCCCAAACAAAGTTGCGCGTTGTTTACGAGGATAAACACGTTGTTGTTATTTATTCCAACAGTTTTCTGGACCGCGACGACACGTCCTACCCGAATAGCGGCCGCCGCTCGACTGGCGTTACGTAACCTTATCCTGGATTCCTTGTCTCACATTCCCGTACATTTTCTCGCCAGATTACCCTGACCTCCCACCCCTCCCGCTCTCTCAATAAATCAAGCGCCTTCGCAGGACAGTTTGCGAATATTAGGGGTTTCAGCAAATTGGGCGGTTATCGACATGCCGTAGTCGATCGGAAAACTTCGTAGCATCGGCTCCGCCCTACGTAGTCGGCTACGGCGTAGTTCTAGTTTTAATAATTATGATTAGGAATTTAATTTAATTTATTACAATTTATTAAAATATGTGAAGTGACGCATTGATAAACAAAGCTGTTGAGACCAGTTTGCTATTTTTTTAATAGATTATACCTACTTTTAAATTATCTGTAGATTCTCTTCAAACTTAGTTTTAATATTAACTGTATATTACATTTTTTAAGTTGTTTTCAAATCAATAAATAGAAAATTGAGTTCGAAAATAAGAGGCTTCTAGTTTTGATGATTCTCTTCTAATGAGCGAACTTTGACAACTCATAAAAAGTTTCTTTAATGATAGTGTTAGCATACTTATTATTATTATGTGGTGTTAGCAATCCAATCCAATTTCTTTAAAGGTAATAAAAATGCATGTTTTGTAAAAAATATCATGCGTAAAATCACAGGAGGTTGGTGAAAGAATCACTCAGTGGACAATATAAGTTTTTTTTGTGAGGTGTAGTAAAAATATTTTCGAAAACCAAGTAGTAACTTACTTATCAAATTATCATAATTTTATGGGCATAGGTGGCAGCACTTGTCACACAAACAAGCTAGCTCCGTAAATAAATTGATTTTTAAAATGTAAAAAGACATTATCTACACATTAAACCAGTGAAATCGATATTAAATATTGTGACTAAACAGTGATAATGTTATCTAAAACTAGTGTGCGTGAATAAACTTAATAATTAACTCAAAACTTGTGTGGACGAGCAAGACTGACGAAACGGACAAAAAAGTATGTAAACAATCACAAACAAGAAACTTACTGCGGACAATATGACTGTACCTACGTGAAGCTAAAAAAGTGCTGTGTAAAGTGATATATCGAAACATTTCACCTAAATGCATTATCGTTGTAACATTATGATACAAGGAGGGTACAACAGACAATAAAAATAAATTGAAATCACCTTTCCTAACGTCAACTCTGAGCGAAGAACCTATAGTTAAATTCGTCAACTTCTCATACGAACGCGTGGCGCTGTTGGTCAAGACTCTGATTAGTACGGGCTTGTTTGACGGGACCCGAGTTCGAATCCGAGCATCTTCAACATTTTTGTGTGAAAAATTTTTAATTTCACTAACATAAAATAAATAATAATGGAACTATCCTGTGCTGGATGTCTTCAAGAAATAACAAGTAGAAGCTATTTAAAATGTTCTATTTGTTTACAAAGTTATGATTTGAAGTGTGCTAATGTTTGTGAGAAAATATTCTACAATTTAATGAGCATAGAACGTAAAAATGACTGGAAGTGTCCTTTATGCAAATCCAAACAACCAAAGCTCGATAATACAAACACACCTATTAGACTGAGCAACACGGCTGATGAACGCAACAACTCAAATTGGTTAACACCAACTGCGGAGAGTAACATTACTATGAGACGGAAGCGAAATACAAACTGTACCAATGAGTCATTATTCATGGACGACACATTACACTCACAAGAAGGAGATACCACGACAGAAATCATAAATGAAGAAAATGAAAGGGCAAAAAGCAATGACACTGTAAACATATTATTAAACTCAAAAATATTAGAATTACAAAAAAAACTTGAAATTGCTGACAAAACGATTGAAAGTCTGACCACTGAAAATGGAGAATTAAAGAAAAAACTCATAAATAGCGAGAATGAACTAGATCACTTAAAACTTGCATCTCAACGTAAAAAACCCGTTTCAAAAAATAAAAACTCCTCTACAACGGAAAGTGAACCCCCTATAGTGCATTCAAACAACTTGATAGAACAATCAATGAGACAAGAAGTTATGCACGAAAATAACCCCAACAAAAATAAAGGTGTGTCAGAAAATTGTGACTCTAATAGTAGCCACAGGATATGTTTACTGAGTACTAACAAACGGAATAATGCCTTAAGGAGGGCTGAACGAACATTCCCAGATAACTATAATCTATGCCACTACCTCATGCCGAAGTGTGGGGTGGAACATCTACTAACCGGATTAGAAACAAAGTTACAGGATTTTACCATGAAAGATTATTGTATCATATTTGTCGGGGAAGAAGACTTCTTAAGGACTCATAATTATGTTGATTTAGTTATATTAATTAGAGAAATGATTTTACCACTTAAACACACAAATGTTATAATCTGTCTTCCTACTTATAAGCTTAGTTATTACAGTAGCGTTTACAATTGGCGAGTTGAACATTTTAATAATTTAATGTATCTAGATATGTTGACCCATGAGCATGTGTATTTGTTAGATTCGAATATGAATCTTCAATATAACGCATCAATGTTTGATATACGTGATGGATCTATTCTCAATCGCGGGTTAAATACTATATTTAAGGATCTTTTTAATATTGTAACGGATATAGGGGATTATTTGTCTAGTGAGTTACCCGATATGAAAGAAAATAATACTAATATTACTAACAACTCAATGAGTAACACGACTGCAAAGATACTAAAAAATACTAACTTCAACGAGACCAAGAATGATTTTTTTCGGACATAGCCTTAACATATTGCACCAGAACATTGCGGGTCTCATACGCAAGACAGACTTACTTGCTATCAGTTTAGATCAATTACATGATGAAGGTATCATTGTTGATGTAGTTTGTATTACAGAGCATTTTATTATGTCTGGGTTCGAGCAGTTCCTAACTTTACCCAATTTTTCCTTAGCTACTTACTTCAGTAGAAAGGATGCTAAGAGAGGAGGAACATGTATATTAGTAAAAAATGGATACCAATGGAAAGACATACCCGAGGCAGTTAAACTCTCTATTTCTGGAGTGTTCGAATGTTGTGCAGTGGAATTAATTGCATATCAAATTATTGTGGTCTGTCTTTATAGAACACCTAAGCCTAATAACATAAATCTATTTTTTGAACAGTTAGAGAAATTGTTACACTTGTTAAGAATGAAAAAATGCCGCATTACGATTGCCGGTGATTTTAATATCGATATTTTGAAACGTAATAACATTACTCGAGATTTCGAATATCTTCTGTTAAGTGCTAATTTAAAATTAGAAATAAAGCAACCAACTAGGCTTGCCAGCAATTCATGCTTGGACAACTTCGCACATGACTTTGGTAAAGGTTGTATAGCAAAAGTATTTGAGCTAGCTCTATCAGACCATACGGCACAGTTATTACACATACCCGTAAAAAAACAGTGCATATTAAAATACTGGCGTTTAAAGAGACGCGACTACAGCAGCGAAAATATAAATAAATTTAAACAAAGTCTGGAGAATATTTCTTTCTCAGAAATATATCATACCGATGATCCTAATGAGGCGTATAATATATTTGTACGGCTCTTCTGTCTGTTCTATGATATGTGCTTTCCTTATAAAATAATTATCCAAAAACCAACTAAAAAGCAAAACTGGATATCTAGAGGAATTAAGGTCTGTTGTAAAAGAAAAAGAAGCTTATTATGGCGTTATAGACTCAAACCAAATGACAAAAATAAATTCGCATTTAAAAAATACTCTAAAATTCTTAAAACCATTATAAACTATACAAAACGTGCACAAAACAGTTATAAAGTCAAAATATCAAATAATAAGGCTAAAGAAACATGGAATTTAATAAATAACGCTAGGCAATCTCAACCTAAAGAAGCAATTGACAAAATTAAAATAGGTGAAAATTTTTTGACAAACTCATATGACATTGTAAATGCTTTTAATGACTATTTTATTGACAAAATCAAACCTTTAAAAGATTCTGGTAAAAATGTTACTGCAAATATAAAGAGTNAACAACAGTTGTCAGTTGGTAAAATTTTATTTTAGTTGGAAAAAGACAAAAAGTGGTAAATGGGTTAACGTGCGGGGGCTGCAAAATCATGTTGTGACGTCACGCGCGAATATTGGAAATTTTTGAAAATTTTAAAATGTCCGTAAACTTCTCGAGGCAATTATTTTAATATTACAACTTATGCGTGTTGTCCATTAAGTATGTTTCTTCCAGAGCGGCGTGGAGTTGGAGCTGGTGGAATGCCAGCCGCTGCTGGAGTGGCTGGCCAACAACTACAAGTCGTTCGGCGCCACGCTGGAGATCATCACCGACAAGAGCCAGGAGGGCAGCCAGTTCGTGCGCGGCTTCGGTGGCATTGGCGGTCAGTATCAGACGTATATTTACTTAGCCTAGGCGTAGACCACCGACTTTTAGTTGGCCGATAGATAGGTGCTTCAAGGATTTTACTTGGGGCAGTTGGGTACTGTTCTGAACCGGGCGAGTTAGGTTTCGTTCTGACCCAGAGGATTTGGGTTTCGTTCCGACCCCGGCTAGTTGAGTTTCGTTCTGACCCGGGCGAGATGGGTTTCGTTCTGACCCAGGGATTTGGGTTTCGTTCTGACCCAGGGATTTGGGTTTCGTTCTGACCCGAGGTAATTAGGTTCCGTTCTGACCCCGGCTAGTTGAGTTTCGTTCTGACCCAGGGAGACGGGTTTCGTTCTGACCTAAGGTGCTGTTTCGTTCTGACACCGGGTAATTGGATTTCGTTCTGACCCTAGGGGTTCGGGTTTTGTTCTGACTCGGGGTACTTAGGTTTCGTTCTGACCCGAAAGAGGAGTTCATTTTGGGTCAGGAGGGGGTCATTTGACCTAAGGAAGAATCATTGTCGACTGTAGGGTAGCATTTTAGCCCAGGGAAGGTTTTTAGGCAGTCCCCAAGCTGGTGGAATGCCAGCCGCTGCTGGAGTGGCTGGCCAACAACTACAAGTCGTTCGGCGCCACGCTGGAGATCATCACCGACAAGAGCCAGGAGGGCAGCCAGTTCGTGCGCGGCTTCGGTGGCATTGGTGGTCAGTATTAGCTTTGTAATACTAAATTATTAGTAGTCAGTATCAGACGTATATTTACTTAGCCTAGGCGTAGACCACCGACTTTTAGTTGGCCGATAGATAGGTGCTTCAAGGATTTTACTTGGGGCAGTTGGGTACTGTTCTGAACCGGGCGAGTTAGGTTTCGTTCTGACCTTGGCTAGTTGAGTTTCGTTCTGACCCCGGCTAGTAGAGTTTCGTTCTGACCCGGGCGAGATGGGTTTCGTTCTGACCCAGGGATTTGGGTTTCGTTCTGACCCAGGGATTTGGGTTTCGTTCTGACCCAGGGGAATTGGGTTTCGTTTTGACCCAGGGAGTCTGGTTTCGTTCTGACCCGAGGTATTTGGATTTCGTTCTGACCCAGGGGAATTGGGTTTCGTTTTGACCCAGGGAGGTGGGTTTCGTTCTAACCCAGGGAGTCTGGTTTCGTTCTGACCCAGGAAGTCTGGTTTCGTTCTGACCCGAGGAGCTGAGTTTCGTTCTGACACTGGATACTTAGGTTTCGTTCTGACCCGAAAGAGGAGTTCATTTTGGGTCAGGAGGGGGTCATTTTGCCCTATGAAGAATCATTGTCGCCTGTAGGGTAGCATTTTAGCCCAGAGGTTTTTAGGCAGTCCCCAAGCTGGTGGAATGCCAGCCGCTGCTGGAGTGGCTGGCCAACAACTACAAGTCGTTCGGCGCCACGCTGGAGATCATCACCGACAAGAGCCAGGAGGGCAGCCAGTTCGTGCGCGGCTTCGGTGGCATTGGCGGTCAGTATTAGCTTTGTAATACTAAATAAGTAGCATATATTTAGTTGTTAGCTTATAGGATTCTGATCTAGCCATTCTGGGTTTCGTTCTGACCCGAGGTAGATGAGTGTCGTTCTGACCCACCCAGGGGAATTGGGTTTCGTTCTGACCCCGGTTAGTTGGGTTTCGTTCTGACCCCGGCTAGCTGAGTTTTGTTCTGACCCGGGCGAGATGGGTTTCGTTCTGACACTGAGTAGTTGGGATTCGTTCTGACCCGGGCGAGATGGGTTTCGTTTTGACCCAGTTATTTGGGTTTCGTTCCGATCCCGGGTAGTTGGAATTCGTTCTGACCCAAGGAATTTGGGTTTTGTTCTGACCCGGCTAGTTGAGTTTCGTTCTGACCCGGGCGAGATGGGTTTCGTTCTGACCCAGTTATTTGGGTTTCGTTCTGACCCCGGGTAGTTGGGTTTCGTTCTGACCCGAGGTAGTTAGGGTTTCGTTCTGACACAGGGGTTCGGGTTTCGTTCTGACCCGAAGTGCTGAGTTTCGTTCTGACCACGAGTGGTTGGGATCCGTTCTGACCCGAGGAGATGAGTTTCGTTCTGACCCGAAGTAGGGGTTCATTTTGGCTCGTAAAGGGGTCATTTGGCCTAGGGAAAAATCATTATCGCCTGTAGGGTAGCATTTTAGCCCAGAGAAGGTATTTAGGCAGTCCCCAAGCTGGTGGAATGCCAGCCGCTGCTGGAGTGGCTGGCCAACAACTACAAGTCGTTCGGCGCCACGCTGGAGATCATCACCGACAAGAGCCAGGAGGGCAGCCAGTTCGTGCGCGGCTTCGGTGGCATTGGCGGTCAGTATCTAGTATATTTGATGTATATTTATGTATATTAGATGTATACTGACGCGTATACTTAGTTATTAGCTCATAGCTACGCCGAGATTCTGATCCAGTTATCCTGGGTTTCGTTCTGACCCTGGGGATTTGGGTTTCGTTCTCACCCAGAGCAATTAGGTTTCGTTCTGACCCAGAGGAATTAGGGTTCGTTCTGACCCGGGGAGATGGGTTTTGTTCTGACCTGGGTAGTTGGGTTTCGTTGTGACCTAGGGGATTTGGGTTTCGTTCTGACCCCGGGTAGTTGGGTTTCGTTCTGACTCGGGGTACTTAGGTTTCGTTCTGACCCGAAGTAGGGGTTCCTTTTGGCTCGGAAAGGGGTCATTTGGTCTAGGGAGAAATGATTGTAGCGTGTAAGGTAGCATTTTAGCCCAGATAAGGTTTTTAGGCAGTCTCCAAGGTAAACGCAAACGTGGTCGCCCCAAGCAAACTTGGCGGCGCACTGTGGCAGACGAGGCGAAGAAGATCGGCAAGACTTGGAGCGAGATCAAACGCGTAGCTCAAGACCGAACGCGATGGAGGACTGTTGTGGACGCCCTCTGTCCCATCTAGGGGACATAGGACCATAAGTCAAGTAAGTCAAGTCAAGCTGGTGGAATGCCAGCCGCTGCTGGAGTGGCTGGCCAACAACTACAAGTCGTTCGGCGCCACGCTGGAGATCATCACCGACAAGAGCCAGGAGGGCAGCCAGTTCGTGCGCGGCTTCGGTGGCATTGGCGGTCAGTATTAATTAGCTTTGTAATACTAAATTTTTAGCGTATATTTAGTTATTAGCTCATAGGCGCTCCGAGATTCTTGTCCGGGGCAGTTGGTCTTCGTTCTGACTCGAGGTGGGTTTCGTTCTGACGCGGGGGAATTGGATTTCGTTCTGACCTGGGGTAGTTAGGTTTCATTCTGACCCAGGGAGGCGGGTTTCGTTCTGACACCGGGTAGTTGGATTTCGTTCTGACCCAGAGGAATTAGGTTTCGTTCTGACCCAGAGAAATTAGGTTTCGTTCTGACCCAGAGGAATTAGGTTTCTTTCTGACCCAGAGAAATCAGGTTTCGTTCTGACCCGGGCGAGATGGGTTTCGTTCTGACCCAGGAAGTCTGGTTTCGTTTTGACCCGAGGAGCTGAGTTTCGTTCTGACACTGGATACTTTAGTTTCGTTCTGACCCAGGGAGGCGGGTTTCGTTCTGACCCAGGGAGTTAGGATTCGTTCTGACCCAGGGGAATTGGGTTTCGTTCTGACCCAGGGAGGCGGATTTCGTTCTGACACCGGGTAGTTAGTTGGATTTCGTTCTGACCCTGGGGAATTGGGATTCGTTCTGACTCCGGGCTAGTTGTGTTTTGTTCTGACCCCGGGGGAGTATAGTTTCGTTCTGACTGAAAAGGTCAGCTGGTGGTATGGTTAATGAATATTTATATTTTATTTATTTACTTTAACATCCCTAAATTATGCTTTTTCTTTGTATATTATGGATTATACAGATAACCAAAAATCTAGTACCAAATAAAAATTATCTATACATGGATGACTAAAAAAAATCATAGATATCCTCATAAAATTAACTTAAAACTGTGCCTTGACGAAAAATACTATTTACCTGAAGTATATCCATAACATACATTAATGTATGCGTTTCTTTAACTATGAGATTGCTGTTTTTCTTTTTTAAATAATTCACTTCTATTTACATTCAAAAAATCAGTTGACGTTTTACTAACTCTAAAATAAATAAATAAAGGAGGCTGACAATAGTGACTGACTTTCTTGCGCTGCTTCATCTCAGCACTGGCCCATTTATTGTCCCGAAGCAGTGGTAGGGTTAATACTGCGACGTGTAAAAGTGCTTTTTAAAAGCCTATTTGCAAAAGTAAATGAGTTTTTTTATAAACTCTTCATACAAAACGGCAATTTCACACTTAAAGACAAATATCCGAAGCTATTTCCCTACTAATGTGTACTGTTTCTTCTTCACGCTGCTTGGACGCCAACGGATGTACCCAAAACGGTAACTTTTCACATACAGGCATACTACGATACAAAGTGGATTTCCAATCGCTACAGCTCGACGAGCCCTTGGACGACGTAGACCTCGATGACTATTAAAAAAAATAACAAAAAAATAGAAAACCAAACGAAACGAGAATTTTAGTCCTAATATTATTAATTATAAATTATTCTAGTCCTAAGAACAGCTTGCTAGGTTTCGTTGACAGATGTCGTTTGCGTTTGTCACGTGGTTTAAAAAGGTCTTGCTGTCTTTCCCGAAGACTATAATCCGGGCCGTTTCAAGGCGAGAGTGAATAGGCACTTACAGGGCAGATATGAACTATCCTAGACCGCATCCCACTTAACGTCAGGTGCGATTGTGGTCAAATAACTGCCTTTTTATGCATAAAAAGAATATGATTTTAATGTTCCTAATTGCGCTTACGAGTAGGCGCCACTAGCGAGTGGTAGATCTGACGAGATTGTGGCGATAATCAAACTATTCGCTCGAATTTTCTTCTCCATTATGATATTAAATTATAATAGTGCCACAGTACTCACTGTTACGGGATTTGGCAACAAAATACTTTTGTAAAGAAAGGTAAACAGGTATTTACCTTCCCGACGTATCCACTCGGTTGCACGAGTCACGGTCGCGGGAAGACACAGATTTAAAGAGCGTAATTAACCTTAAAT